CCAGTTGCTAAGTAAGTATTTTGATAAATTCATAAACTAAGTTTATACTTGATTTATCGCAACTACAGAAATAGAACCTGCCAAACGAAATAGAATCAAAATGTAATCAGTAACCAATGTTTTGGGAAGGTCGATCGATCCGATCTAAGTCAATCCATCTGACCTAAACTTCGAATATTGACTTCAATCAAACGTCCTTATTGGTCGGTCGCGCTATGAGTACCTTGATCCAACTGACATTTGCGAGACAACCCGTCATTAAATAATGTTGCTGGTGGAGTCTGTAAACAGAGGCGACCTATTCTGTTTCGTCACTCTTATGCCTTAGTATTTTTTTATAAAAAATAAGTGTGCAATTGAGTCCCATCTTGCCTGATGGAAAGTAACGATGATAGAGCATTCACATAATGCCTATTCGCTCTCACCCTCAAAAAGCCCTAGTTATAGTGCAGGAAACAAGTCTGCAAGCAGGGAAATATACTCCATAGTCGTTCGACATATAAATGTGGCTTCGTAAGGACTCGCAAGGATTCGTTCTTGGAATATCCAGAACCTAGGGGTGGAACGCCAGCCTGCGTTTAGCCCCCGATGATGGAAAGTACAGTAAGATAAATAATTAAATCGTGCATATGATATACATACATTTTGTTTATTCGTTTTCTATTCACGGTTGGCACCGTGTGAGCTAGATGGGTTCGTTATTTCATTTTAAGTCGAGACTTAATCGTGTATAAAAACATAAACACCATTTACCTTCACATTTCGGACGTGTTGCAACGTGTATGGTAACGAAAGGACTTGATTTTTTTAAATATATAATATCAAGTGTCTGGACAAAGTAGTCGTGCGTCTGTAGGTAACCTACACGCCTGTCCATTATAAAGTGCAGTGCCACTCAGAACTTTGAACAGATCTGAAAGGCTCCTGTGCCCGTCACCCTGAGACATAAGTTGACAAGTCCCATGTTCCTGTAATTTAACTAGCACCCTTATCCTTTAAAATCGGAACGCAGTAATGCTTACATTACTACTTGGCGCACTTGAACACTCTTTCACAAGGAGCTCAACTGCTACTAAATGTAAGATATATAGTCATATAGAAATAATAGATGGGTTGTTCATTTAAATTAGTGCTTATAGGGATATCCCTACATTAATTGTTTCGGTAAGTCATCAAAGATTTTACAAATAATTTGAACCACAGTCTTACATATTATTCTTAGACTGCCGTATTTGTAATAATAACTGTTTCAAAGAATACCCAAACATCCTTAAAATAGTGATCCAATGTTCGTTAATAATTATTGGTTGGTAATGTCACAATGAGAGACTTGTCAAACTTTAATAGTATTAAGCGCCAAGCTACTAAACCAATATGAACCGATGATCACATTTCACTGAAGTGTGTAATGAGAACTATATGTCTAAATAATAAATTTCGTCTAATTAACGTTGGTAAACAGTTTAAGAGCTTGTAGTGTAACTTGATTACAGTTTAGTTCAAGTTTAATGACTAAATGAAGGTTTATGATTGTTTTTAATACGCAATCAAAATCAAATAGAAAGAAGAAACAAAAAATAAGAAAATTTAATACTGTTCAAACAATTAGTTCTAACGTTTATCTGATAAAATTTTAACTAGATGTCTAAGTTGAGTGGACAAATTTCTTACAATTAACAGAATGTCATTAAAGATGTAAGAGTTATTCAACGACTGCTAACTTTGACTAATTAAAAACTTATTCCGTAGACATTAATAAATCAAAAGCTAACACTCAGGCTTAGAGCGGTTACAGGGCGACTTTTAGCAGCGATGCAAACGCGCTGGCGTGCAAACGCGCGACTGCATCGACACAAAAGCATCGATACAAAAGCGTGATTGCATTGATGCAATCGCTTATAATTCTCAAGTGTAGCAATGCAATCGCGCATTTGTAACGATGCAGTCGCGCGTTTGCATCGCTGCTTAAAGACGCGCATGTGTGTAAAGGTAGACGATTAGCTACTGCATCGCTATTGCATCGCGTTTGCGTTGCGTTTGCATCGCTGCTAAAATTAGCTATGTGTAACTACTCTTACTTAAACTTTAAATGCTAGTTAGTATAAATAGCCCCGTACAATATGTAACTTTATTAGATTATGACCGTTGTTTGGTGTATTATTTTATTATATAATGCTTATTAAATTTCTTCTATTGTAATAAAACGTAATGAAACGACTCGTTTTATGTGAAGGTTATTCAACTTTAAACAAATAATGGTTTTTCCTTTTCTTTTCGTAGAACCAAAAGTGTACCTGTAAAGTGCTTTTTTTTCAATGGTTTCTAAAGGAACGTGATCCTCGTAGTGGGCGATGGAATGAGTTTGACAACAGCCACGGCAGCGAGGATCCTGCGAGGCCAAAGGCGTGGTCAGACCGGAGAGGACACTGACTTGGCCTGGGACACATTCCCCGCTGTGGCGCTTGCAAAGGTTTGTTTGTGTCTTAATAAAAATTAAAGGCATCTGCATTAGGCTGGCGACAAATACTTCATTCTTCGGCTGAGGGTCGAACAATAACAACTCCTGAGGGTGCATCGAAGACGAAACACGTGTAGGGTACATTTTTTGGTGATAGTATTTAGTGACAGGAGTTGCGCTTGTGTATATTGTGGTAAAATTAACTGCATGAAAAAATATTCAACACAAACGTAGCTATTCTGTATGATTTAAACTTCCCTGGGGGCGTGGAGTTGAAAATTTATTTACTTCCATTTTTATTAACACGGATTAAGTAGATGAAGTAAGTAACGCTTGAATCTATTATTAATTGGTCTTGTTTAATTTTTAATCCTTGAAAAATTTCGTTCGTATTCGTAAAAAGAACGTTAGTTAGTTGTTCATTTGTTCTAGTATGGTAATTTATATTTACACGCATTTTCCTTTAAGCGGCTAGCCGCATGGGAGTCCTATTTATTCAAATACGTCGTATATCATATCCATTGACGCGGTCTCGATTCGGAAGTGAAACTAGCCGCTTCAGCTGCTGTCGCTTGTGGCTAGTCGCTTGTAAAAGATTATTTATTTCCAAAATATAATATTACAGTAAGTTAAAATATATAGGTAAGGTACAATAAAAGCTTAAATGGTAGAAACTAAAACTGGAATTAAATTATAATGAATAAAATTGGGTTCCCGCGGCAAGGTGCTCAAGATGTTGGCAGCGTTCCATCTTAGCTATGAATAAATTGCTTTACATGTCAAAGCATAAGTAATTATATCGAGATCGTCACGAAAAAACGGGAATTATAAAATGGAAAATACACAATAATTCTGAAATGAAGTTATAAATAAATATTGATGTCGTAATAAATAATAAATTATGTTACAAATATTGTTCATCAAGGATTGTCAAAATTGATAACAAATACATGACACGATGAAATAATACAAAAGCATATTACTGAAATAAAATTTAATAAAAATAGAGTAGAAAATACTCAGTAGCGTTACATTTGAAAGTCCTTCACTTTATGTGAAAAATACTGTCCCAACAACTCCCTCTTCTGAGCACGGGTCTCCTTCCAGGCGAGAGCTTAAGTAAGTCAGCCACGGACATTCCAGTGCGAGTTGGAGATTTCACACGTTTTCCGAGTGTTGTGAACCTTCTTCGACGTGCAGGTTTCGTCGCGATGTTTCCCTTCACCGAAAAGCTCATGAAAATTTTCAAATTAAATTTCGCACATAAATTCCGAGAAACTCAGAGGTGCGAGCCCTGCTTGGGAGACGGTAGGTCAAATAATTACTCGCGCATTAGGCTACTACTGCTTAGGTATTATAAAACAATACACCATTAACTAAATATGTCTACGCAAGGCCGTTGTACCATCTATGTATACGTGCGTTTGCTGTGGCAGTAGTAGAATCAGATGTAACAGAACCCAGGGGCTAATAATACTAGTATATTACGCGTTGTGCGGTCGTTTGTTCATGTAACAAAGACCTACATTTTGTTGATCAACACGTCACGTCATGATTACAATCACTGTGTGATGTTGTCGTTGGCGCAACACGAGTCACAAACGTCGTATGGGGATACATAGTATGTACAGTCATTACTTCGTGTCGGTGGGAAAGGGTTAAAAGCCAGTCTCATTAAAAATGAGTTATTGATGTAGTTAAAAAGTTATTCAATATTTGTAAGCCTTTCGTAATTATTTACTAAATTGTAATCGCTAATTACAGGTTTCTTACCATAGTCTGAGTTCTTTTTATTTTTCCGATATTTCGAAATGGTATCTACAATTGTAACGCTACATGTAATTGAGATGAAGAGAGACAGACATGACGTTAACTATGACCAATGTTAACGACACCTTCTCAAAGGTAGTTTATTGGATTAATGCTGACAATTTAGCGCTCAATGCCAAGAAGACAGTGTGTTAAATTTGAATTACCTAATATAAAATGGACTAGTCCAATCATAGAAATAAATGAAAAAAGTTAGACCCTGTTAATAAAGCTGTCTTTTTGGGAGTGACCTTAGATAGTAAACTTCAATGGTTTCCACATGTATCTTCCTTAGCTAGCAGATTAAGCTTTGCTGCATACGCAGTCCGTAGAATATGTGAGCTTACCGATGTTGCTACTGCTAGACTAGTTTACTTTAGTTACTTCCATAGTATAATGCCCTACGGGATTCTCATGTGGGGTAAAGTGGCAGATATATAAACCATATTCGTGTTGCAAAAACGAGCGATTCGTTCCGTGGGTTAGGCTTTAGCCGTTAGGTTATCGGGTTTCTCTCAGAGAAAAGTTTAAGGAGACTGGTATCATGACTGTGGCGTCACAGTACATTTATTCAAATATTTTGTATGCCCGTAAAAATATACATAATTTCATTAAGAAAGAAGATATCCATAATATTAACCTTAGAACTAAGTCCAAACTCGTGGTACCACGATTTCGTTTAACTAAGGTAAACGATTCTTTTGGGGAACTACAGACATTTTTACAATAAGATTCCGGAGAATATATTAAGATTATCGTTTCCTAAAACTTACATTAAAAGTATTTTAATTGAAAAGTCATATTACAAAATTGAAGAGTATGTTTTAGATAAAGAAGTATGGAAAGACAACAAGAGTCTAGATTCCACACAATTATGATTCAAAGTGTATTCCATAGCATTTAAGTTTATTTGAAAAGAGCCCCAAGAGTCCCTAGAGTTTCTTGTTCGTTCTTCTGAGGGAAGTCAGCGTAGTGAACGAGCAGTAGCTTAAAAAGTAGCTTAAGAAATGACGGTTTCAATTGTAAAAATTTTACCTATAGAATGATTATTTGACTTTGATCTTGTAGTTAGTCGTCGACAGTGAAAGAGAGTAGACAGATATGTCTGTTCTTAAAGCTGTCATCATCTGCCGCTGGCCAGTCAACCCGTGATCGTAGAGCGTGAAACTGTTATGAAATATCGGAAAATAAACAGAACTCAAACCGTAGTAAGAATACACCTGTAATTAGTAATACCGCACTAGGGAAACCCTGTATGGCGGATATCATGGACACACAAGTAGACAATCACAAGTTACACCCAAATTCACTAGCGAAATAAATGTTGGCCATACAAATTTTTCTCACGACCCGGGACTCAAACCCGGGACCTCTGCGTGGCAATACAGCATGATGACCGTTGAAGGCTGTTGAGCATTTAGTATTCAGTATTTTATTTATTAGCAAACATGAAAGTTGGGTTAGCTAGTCCATCAGCCGCGAGGAGGACGACGGGGCGGTGTGGCCCGCTTCGTCGTGAGGAGAGGAGGGGGAGGACGTAGCTCCTCCTAGGTGCTGGGGGGTTTCGGTGCGCAAAGTCGATCCCGGATCCTTCCCACTAGAGCACCCGAGAAGGCCACCGTGGGGTTTTAGCCGGTAGAAGTCCGGCATAACCTCCCGCTACCCCCGCGGCGGAGAGGTATCCTAGGATTTCCCCACGCAAAAAAAAAAGCTAGTCCATACGGTATTAAAGCAGAAATGAAAAAATAAATATCAAGCTAAAATAAAACATTATTGGCCATGTTGATTTACATCTTTTTGCCATCTTTCGAGTAACTTTAATATTTGAAATTCAAAATACAATTTAAAATACAATTTTCTGTATTTGCTTATGAAATACAGCTCTTAAGTATAGTTTATGTGGTCTCTTCGTTATTAAAATCGCGTCCATTAAAAGAATTTTGTGAGGAAGTGGTGAAAAAAAAAGACTAATAAAGATAACATAATATCCCAACCTAACTGCCATAGTTTTTGACGGCTCATTATTATGATAAAACACGCCTTTATGATTCATCAGTTTCGAGTTTTTTACGAATTTTAAACATAAATATCCGCGTATTCTTAAAATTCGTGCTATAATACTGTTTTTAAAATGACCATAAAAAATATAAGATTTTAAAAGAAAAATTATAGTTTGTTGCATAAAATCTACTGACAGGAACTTTTTAGCCGAGCCTTTACATAATAAAATTTACAATATTTATGGGTGAAGGTTATTTGTGATCAGAGGCGGCTCGTGGGAGATTTCAGTGGGAGTTCATTTACCTATACATATTTTAAATAAAAAATGTAACTCACATTATAGTGTTCCATTTTAAACAATGCCACTAAACACTACGCTTCTTAATAACGATTGACAATAAGAATTTTTACAACACAACCAAATGCGCGCGAAAAATAGAATTCAGTACTCTATCGTTTTCATTTAATCGTTAACGATTGTAGAAAGGGAATAGATTGGGAGTGATTGCCACTTGTCTAGGCCCTCTGAACTTTGTAAACAATGTCGGTTCGTAGGAGCGCATCGCGAAGCGCTCCACTCCAATATTATATAGAAAGATAAAAATCTAATTGTGTGTTCGTCGTTCATTAATAAAAAAAATACTGCGGCTACTAATATAATATGAAAGCATGATGAATAAATTTACTTTGGTGGGTTGGATAGGAGTGGAAGCTCACTGCACCAGCGCTCCATAGGACGAGCCGCCTCTGTTTGTGATATCAAGTGATAGGACGAAGAAGTCGTGAATAGAATAGAATAGAATAGAATCGTTTATTTCATGTTATCAATGTCACAATATTACAATTGGAAATACAATGTCAAGGGATAACTATGATCGTCAGTAATAAAATTATAATAATAATAATGAATATAAAATAAAGTAGTATAACTACTGCTTGTCGAATAAAATAAAATTAAAATTGTTTCAAAAGAAACTCATCGACACTGTACAATTCAATATCCAATAAAAGGATTTTTAGTCGGATACAAAAGGTTTCATCGTTTCTAACACTTTTCAGGTGTGTGGGTAGGTGTTCGTAGAATCGGGGACCTATTACCCGCGGATTTCTAGTTGCAAGTTCGGTACGGTGGGCAACGGATTTTAGTGTTCCCGCGTTTCAAAACGCTCGGCCTCCGCCCGTACGTCGCTCATAAGTAGCCAAGTTTTGACGCGCATAAACTATTATATCATAAATATATTGCGAGTACATGGTCATTATATTGTATTTCTTAAAAAGGTTTCTGCAGTTCTGACCCTTTTTTATGCCTACTATTGTTCTTAGTGCACGTTTTTGAAGAATAAATACCCTAATCGACTCAGTTGAATTACCCCACAGTGTGATGCCATAAGACATCAACGAATGAAAATATGCATAATACGTTTGCTTCAATACCACATTGCAGACAAGAGGACGCAATTTCCTCAGTGCGTATGCAGCACTTCCAAGTTTTTGACATAGAGTTTGTATATGTGACTTCCAGTTCAAATTTGAGTCGTGCACCTGGTGGTAAGCGACACGCCTATCCATAACAGTAGCAGTGCCACTCAGAGCTTTAAATCGCAAAGATCGTAGCAGCACTGCCACTGCGGCCGTCTCACTGAGACATATTTTAGATCAGTCCCGTGTGCCTGTAATTTCACCGGCAACTTTAACCTTTAAAACCCGAACGCAGTACCTAATCAGCACATTACTGATGGCGGCAGGGTAAGAGTATGGGTGAGGGTTTTTCTTTCTTCCCATAGATATATTTTTCTATATCTGTGGTAGGTACTTCCTTGGACAAATTCTTTCACAAGGAGCTTACTTCTACTAAAATGACTTAAAAATAGAAAAACAAGCAAAGAAATAAAAAAAAAAGTAGATAAAAATTATGCCAAAAGACAAAAATATTGTAAATGTTTTAAATAATAAAATAAAAACCTTAACAGAAAATGAACTTTTATAGTAATACAAATCAAATTCTTGTGATAAATACACCAAATCGCATATAAATATTTTGGGTTTGCTCATTTTATAAGCCTTGCTGTTTGAGTTTTACACGTCGACTCATCTGTAGAACAAAGGCCTATGTGCAAGACTGCTTATTCCCAGAACATTGTACATTTCGTTCGTTGTTCTTCGCTATGGATATCAGATCGACCAGTGTTCGATTTCATATGTCCAAAACGAAATAAGATATAAAAATTATGAAAAGTAAATAAAATAGATAGACCTTATTTTAAATAACGAGACTATGTAGTTATCATACTTTCGCTGTATAACCACATCAGACTCTGTTCTTCTAATGTGTCGACTTTTTTTCTCAAAGTATTGAAAATGTTTTAGTGAAACTCCAACTAGACTTTAAATACATAATGAAGTCATTTATTTAATGGTGCAATGTACGAATCTGGCCCTAAAAGTTTCTCGACGGGGTCTAATGGATAAAGGTTTATTTAGGTAATTATTTATTATTGATGTTGGTCATTAGAGAGAACACATTTTTTGATACTAATAATAATACAAAACGCGGTCGAGATAAAATACAAAAAGGTAATATTTACAGTTTTCAGTAATTGATAAAAGAGGCTATTTTACTGTATTTCAAACAGTTAAGATGCCACGAAGACAGAGACGCTTGTTCTTTGCTACTCTTGTCGCCATTTGCCTGGTGCTTCAACTTCTGCGTTACCATCGAGCCTACAAATCCGAAATATAGTGACGCAATACTTTTCAGCAGGATAGTGTTTTGAGTAAAACAATATAATGTGTTAGCACCAGCAGGTAGTTGAATTCTAAAGTCGTCGCACTACTCATAATAAAAAAAAGGCAAAGTAGCAATGCTGGTCACGTGTTTTTTTTAATAATATCAAGTGACGGGACGAACAAGTCACGCGCCTGATGGTAAGCTACACGCTTGTCCATAACAGATGCAGTGCCACTTAGAGCTTCAAATCGCAAAGATCTGAGGGGCACTGCCACTGCGCCCGTCACCCTAAGACATAAGTTGACAAGTCCCATGTGCCTGTAATTTCACCAGCACCCGTACCCGTACTGCTAATATTACTGCGTGGTGGCAGAAATAGATAAGGTGGCAGTACTTCCCTGGACGAACTCTTTCCCAAGGAGCTCTACTGCTTACGAAGACGCTTACTGTTTAGGAGAGAGTTTAGATCATGGTCCGCCACGCTAGTTCGTTCATTTTTTTTTTGTAAAAGTTGTCAAACTTCTTTAACGAGCAGGTTTCGTTACAATTTATTTATTCCTTCACCTTTAACGAAAGATGATTAATAACAATACTAAACATTGATGTGCACGGAAGAGACGAAGAGTTTGAGAGCACTTGACGATGTCAGTGGCCCAACGGTATGTACTATATATGTGAGCTCTTTAGAACAAAGCTCAAATCTGATCATGTGCCGAGTATTTCGCCAAGTATATGACGGTTCATACTAAAATCTACTTACCATAAAATACTCAGTGGAACGCAAAGCTAGGAAGTTTGTTGTTGACAAAGCCGCGATTGCAGCTAAGCTTCACAGGTTTGAACGCATTTAATGCTGGCTATGAATACATATATCGTGGCGATCTCACTCGTATTCTTTGCTAGACATAGCAAAATAGATTTACTGTTGAGTATTTTATGGTTATTGTGAGAGAGAATTAAGCGAATCGGAGTTTACTGATCGATTTAGTCAATCCTGGGATTGACCATATTTCTATCAAAGGTTTTTTGATCAAAGGCTTTAGCCAAGTCCCTTATTCAAACTTAGAAATGACTGACTTGTCAAATCTAGAGGTGCCTGAAGTTGTAGGATTTGACTATAACAATATTCTCCTTTATTAGTTCTCACGTGATACATTATAGTAAAGTAAGTATATTATGTTATTACTGATACTGTATTTGTATCAACTCGTAGCAAGGACTTTAAAAATAATCTTGCATCAACTATAGTCCGTTCCAATCCATTCTACATGAAACGTAAACAAACGAGTCGTTGCCCCGACCATATACAGTTTAGTTCTACAAATACAAATCAAAATTTTTATTCATTTTAAAGTTGCTGCTAAATATTTTCAAAAGTAATTTCCATAATTTATTATGAGTAGAGATGATATTGAAAACCTTACAAACTTTGGTTGGGGAAGTAAGCCTTATAACATGAGGCTTTGCTTCCACCAATTTCCACCAACTACAACTTAAGGAAAATACCATTAAAAACATACATTTAAAAACTTAAATATATTAATTTAAGGAAGGTTTTTTCCGAGATTTGCTTGAAGATATCAAGATATAGTTGAACAGATAAGAATTTCAAAACTTTGTAAGTCTTTTCGTGACCTGTTGCAATGAAATCTCTATTTTCACAATTCGTCCTTAATAGAATATTTAAATTTCAAGTAACTTCACAATTTGCCTAAACACTTGTGCTTAAATGTTGGTAATTAGCAATAAAAAATTTAATAGTATTGTACTACTAGGTGACTATAATTTTCACATATTTAGATAACTTAATACCTACATAGCACTGATTATATTCAATTTTGGCATCCTCGTTCACGTACTCACACAGCATTATTAAAAAAATATTAGGAACGTGGTATAAACGAAAACCTAATTCATTCAGTCATAAACATAAACATAATTATGAAAAAAATTATTAATTCAGTATTACAATTTTATTAAACGTAATACATATCTAATCTATCGTAATATATGTCTGCCTTTCAAGCAGAGGCCGCGAGTTCGAATCCGGGTTCGTACCTCTGAGTTTTGTGCGAATGAAATGCGAGAGAATTTATGTGCGAAAAATTTGAAATTCACCAAGACCTTTTCTGTGAAGGAAACCATAATGATGAAACCCGCACGTCGAAGAAGATTCATAACCCTCGGGTATGAAGTACCCAACCCGCACTGGCTCAGTTTGGCGGACTATGGCCTACACCCACGTGTAAATGGGTTGATCATGATGAGAGTTTTAAGGCTCCATATTTCAAACACAACATTTATTTACAGGACAACGTTTGACCTATCATATTAGAACACAGTCAGACTTATAGTATTCTCGACGGCATTTCAAAATCAAAATTTTTTTGAAATAATGACATATTTTTTTAATGAATTAATATGTGGTTTTTCTTATCAGACGTATAACGTGGATGCTCAAACCGGTGAATCATCGGCTTGTGCAACGGCTCTTCTTTGCGGAGTAAAGGCACGGTATGAAACATTGGGACTTGATGCTGGCGGAAGATTTAATAACTGCGCATCAACTATCAACTCTAAGGTCACTTCGCTGGTTGATTGGGCTCATGAAGCCGGTAAGTATTATAAGTTTATACTTGAGTATTTTATATAAATTAAAATAGTCGCAATTATTAATATTGATACAAAGATTTTTATGATAACAAGTGACATGACGAACCAATCGTGTGCCTGGTGATAAGCGACACGCCTGTCCATACAGTTAAAGTTTGACAGAGTTTTAAATTGCGAAGATCTGAGGGGCTCTGTCAAGGCCACCGCCCGTCACCCTGAGAAATAAGTTGAAAGTCCCATGCCTGTAATTTCACTAGCATTCTTACCCTTCAAAACCGAAACGCAGTAATGCTCACATTATTTCTTGACGGCAGAAATAGGTAAGGTGGGCAGTACTTCCTTGAAGGAGCTCTACTGCTGTAATCGTGTAATGGTGTGATCGTTTATTATATTTTTCGGGACATTCGTTTTCAGTTCTAGATAGAACAATTAACATTTATTTAGCAATATAGTTTTAATATAAATAATAAGTAAGTATGTTAAATGATCGCAATGACAACATGTGTTTTTTGTAGTGTAGAAGTGTTCACGAGGACAGCCTATAGTTAAATTGCAAAATTCTGAAGAAACTAAAAAAAAATGCTGTATTGTTAAAATTTTTATTCACTTTGAAATGAGCAAAAATCATCGGTTGAGCAAGTGCCACTTGTATGTATAATTATTTGATTTTCAATCATATTGCCACTGTTAACATCTCTCAAAATCATAATCAAAAACTTTACTTTTTTTTAAGTGAAGATGATTGCCTCGGTAAAATTCCGCGATTAATAATTGGTTACAACATTATTATTTAAAAGAAAGTAGATTGAATAGAAGACGTTTCGAACTGACTCAAAACTGCATTGTATTTTCGAAATAGTGCGAAAATAATTTTTCAAATATGTTCTATCATAATTGTTATATAATGCTTCACAAAATTAAGTATTTTTTTAAACCCAATAACTTAATAATTGTTTGTTTACTGTTTCGTTGATTGCATTCAAATTTATATACTATCGTCTTCCTTAGCTGTCTTTGGGCCACTTAAATTGTGGCTATAGTTAGAAAATATGGACTGGAATTTAAATGAAGAATTTAAATTAGATTCAGTGTTAAACACGTCTTCATAATAATATTAATTGGAAACCTTCTGGTGGATTAAACCAATTAAGACTCATACTTTCGTACTTTCATGTACAAACTATATTTTTAATGAACGCCTTTAACGAAATATTACGGTAACATTTACGTTATTCTTGTAAGACCAATTTATTCGTAAAATGTTTTAACAAAGTGATGACAGAACATTCTTTCTTGAATGGATTACGGGATATAAAACTTTTATTCTGAGTAAACAAAACATAATCGCAATTTATAGCATCAATTTAGTTAAAGTAAGATATTGTATGTTATGAATTTTTAAGTTTATCCAGTAAATCCAAATAATCAAGTTTACGCGAAATTTTATCCACTTATTTCCTGTGTTATATACTTTCACAAACTTGGTCGTATTTTCGATAACCTGGTATAAGAGAAAATTTTGGACGTCTGTCTTACTTCATAACTTTAGTTTGATTTGATCAAGGCCGTGTTGTTTCATATTAACTTTTCCATAGGTCTATTGGGGATACATTTATCTATACACTTGTGAAAGATTGCCATAGACAAATGGAATATTATAATAACATATACGAATAGGTGGAGTACATATACCTAAAGTACATATAATACATATAGAGTGGATAATGTTCTGTCTCAAATCCCGGAATTATTACTTTTAGTAAAGTTGCACATCAAACATTTGGAACATGTTTTTATGATACCAAGTGATAGGACGAACAAGTCGTGTACCTGGTAAGCTACACAGAGCTTTAGATCGCAAAGATCTGTTTGACATTGCCACTGCCCTCTAAGACTTTGACAAGTTGAAACGTCCCATGTGCCAGTAATTTCACCAGCACCCTTACTCTTCCAAACTGGACCAACTCTTTTTCAAAAGGAACTATACCGCTACTAATATAATTATAATACCGTTGGCGTAGAAGTTAGTTGTTTTTGGAAAACAACTGACATAGGTAAAGCGACCGACTGACAGCCGCCCGACTCCGTGCTTGTAGGAGACGTTGACCCTGTTCGTCGGGAAGTTCTCAACGACTCTGATGACCCTATCACTTTCAACACTTTACAGGCCAGGCACTCAATACGAAATGACCGTCCTCGTCGACGAGGACAAAGGGCCCCGCTTATTTCGCTTGTGTTCAAAGTCAAAGTCAAAGACAAAGTAAAAAATCTTTATTTCGTAGGTAAGCGAATTACACTTGAAATAAAAAAGAATAATAAAATAATCATATTGATTAAACTCTACTGCACATTCGTAAAGCAGATTTTCTTGAGAAGAATGAGTAAGGTGCTCTAGGGGCTGCTCTTTGTAAATAAAAATTTGAACACATTTATCATTTACAATATTTATTTCTAACATCATTGATCGAGACTACATGCAAGAGGTACTGCAGGTCACTACCACAGATTTTTGTCGTCAAGAAGTTGTCTTATCCTACAGCACGACCTTCTGGCGGAAGTATCCAGTAGCGTCCTGCGCTGAGGTGCGTAGGCGCCCATAGGCCCGCTACTTAAATTTTTATATGGGTCTGCTCGTCCTTTTGTTTGTGAAGGCCAAATACAAAATGCCCTTCATAATAAAACCGCCTCAAACTTGTTTGTCAACGTATCATAAGTGTATTGAAAACTGGTTCAAATATTAGCTTGTTTTGTTGGTATTTGTTATTTTATTTCACTTTTGATTAAAATTATTCTGATCAGTTGTATTAAATTTATTATTGAGTTTGTTAATGTTTACTTGCTCCTTTGGATAATAATATAATGATTGACGTTAGATATTGTTGTAGATGATTCTGTCATCATTACCATAACTAAGGTAATCGTCATTTTTAGCAAAATTGGATTATGAACATAGTGACGAGATGTACAACCCCATTTTATCGGTTTTTGATGTCATAATAAAATTATTTAGTTTCCGTTTTATGTTAAGCAAAATAAGTGTAATTGAATTTATTAGCAAAAAAGACTTTAGGTGCAAATATACGGAAAATTACCGAAATGCAAATGCGTTACTTATAATAAAGAGGTAAGAATTACAGTAAATTTACAATCTTTGTACAAGTGGGGGTATTTTTTATCACATTGTTTGTGCTATCACACTGCAAAGAAAAAATCACCGTAGCACTTTCGTCAAAACTTATTATTGCTACGATTTAAAAAATATAATTTGTATATCAAATATTATTATAATTTCCAAAAAATGGTTTATGTGTATATAGTTTGCATACTGTGACGCCTAGTGACAAGCGACACGCCTGTCCATAATAGTTGCAGTGATACTCAGAGCCTTAAATCTCAAAGATCTAAGGGGCCAGTGCCCCTGAAATTATAGGCACGGGGACGAGGATCTCGCAATCCACATCTCCGTCGCCTGTGCCTATAATTTCACCAACACGTTTACCCTTCAAAACCGGAACGCCATAATGCTTATATTACTGCTTGGCGGTAGAAATAGTACTGCCCTGGACGAACTTTTTCACAAGTGGCTTTACAGCTACCGACAAAAGTAGTACGTTCCAAAAACTGACACTCGAGCAGCATTCAACAAAACCCTTGTCAGTCTTCGTGGTCAAGTGGCTTCTACGACGGTTTTCATGGTGTCATTATCTCAGAGGTCCGGGTTCGATCCCGGGCGGTTCAATGTATAAAGCAAACTTTTCTATATTGTTTCGGGTCCGGGTGAAATATTGTACCGTCGTTGTTTCCGATTTCCATGACACAAATGCTTTAGCTACTTACTTTGGGATTAGAGCAACGTATGTGATGTTGTCTAATATTTATTTATTAATTACGACTTTATAAATTGGTATGTCCAAAAATTAAAGTGGTTTTATCAAAATCATCGTAATCGTATTGATAGAGAGATAAATAAGTGACTACAAGATGTATGTATACAATACTTTACTAAAGTATGGCTGACATATGTACCTAATGGCTGTAATAGGTATTATATGCTTCTATAAATTAATTAATTAACTTGTACGTACATTAAGTTCGTTGTTGGATATGTTAGTACAAGCAATCCGTATATCTTTGGAGGCGTGCTAATAAGTGCCTTGTGTTTACTGGTATGTTGATTACAACGACGACATATTGATTAAATTTCTTTAGGTATTAAATCAAGTATATTTTAAAGCTCGCACTGACGCAAAATAATATATTACGATATCTTCTCTTTTATAATAACGCACACACTCAACACCTCGAACTAAGGAAACCTTGTGTCGCAGACGCCATGGATACACACATAGACAACCACAAATTACACCCAAACTCACAACTAATACTTATCTCGGCCCGGGAATCAAACTCGGGACCCCTGGGTGGCAGTCGGGCATGGTAACCGTGCTGCCACGGAACCAATTAGCAGACGGAGTTTTTAGTGCGCATTTGATCTCATCTGAAGGAAAGTGACATGCGTAGTAGCAGTAGAGCTTCTTATGAAAGATTTCGTCCAGGGACTGTCACCTTACCTATTTCTGTCGCCAAGCAGTAATGAGAGCATTACTGCGTACCGGTTTGAAGGGTAAGGGTGCTAGTGAAATTATAGGCGCATGGGACTTGTCACCTTGTCTCAGGGTGACGGGAGCAGTGGCTGTGCCTCTCGGATATTTGCGATTTAAAGTTCTGAGTGGCACTGCTGCTGCTATGGATGGCGTGCAGCTTACCATCAAACGCATGAATTGTTCATTCCGTCACTTGATATTAAAAAATGCACACCTATATACTGCTTATTCACTCTCGCTTTGAAAAGATCCAAGTTCAGCGTTCAGGTATGGAAATCCACTAGACTTCACCATACAAATATGGTATAACGTTTCGTGCGAATCTATGGAATATCTATAAATGTGGATCTCCAGCCTACGTCCAGTCGCCCGATGATGGTAATGGGTAGCCTGATTTCTTTTAGGTATTTAACGATGTTCCTTATTGTTCAGGTAAATCCAGCGGTATAGTGACAACGGCTCGAATCACACACGCGACTCCCGCGGCTTTGTATGCGCATGCGCCTTCAAGATATTGGGAAGATGACAGTAGAGTCCCGCCGACTGTGCGCAAGGACTGCAAAGATATTGCTATGCAACTGGTTGAGAATGAACCAGGAAGAAGTATTAATGTAAGCATTATTATTTTATTTTATATAACGAAAATCTTATTCAGGACACGTCATTAGGCCTAATGAAAATGGTTTTATTCCTGAATTGAATGGATATTAAAAATAGTAGATAGTTGTAACACGTTTGTAGCATTACGGTCATTTTACAACTATAACAAAAAAATATATAATTTAAGTAGTTACTTAACGTACTGCTCATAGCCACAAAAGTCAATAATTTGCGAATTTTTCTGACATAACTGCCGCGTTTGCTGATATTTGTTTGTTTTTTTTTTATTTGATTGTGTTTTGTAGTTTGAGAAAATGTTATTACGATTACCGAGGGATGCCATAATATGATTTCGTGTAATCCGTTTTGTCCAAGTAGACTGTCCTAAAGAGTAAAAATTTCGTAGTTTAAAGAAGGTATCTGCGAAATAAATTAGATTTAATTAATGTAATAAGCGTGTGGTGCTGCTGCAAGTGGATGGCGGTTGTGGTGAAGTGGTTCATTTTGTTCAATATATTTTCACTTACATTAACTCCAAAACAAAAAAAATATTATGAACACGTCACGCGTCCTGGACATAATGTCCCTAACAATAATAATACTGTAACGTCCTAGCGCCACACTGTGTCTTGAATGTGTAGCTGTGTTTTCATCCAACATTTAAAAAATATTATAAGATACTTTAATAGATAAATAAAAGATTTTTTTCCAAAATACTAATATTGCCCTTGGACACGGCGTATTTTATACGGCGCGTATGTGTTCAGATGACGTGCATCGTCGGCGCGTTTATAGTACGCCATGTTATTGCTGTAATATTGTAGAAAAAAAATAAATGTGGGTTACACCACTATTGCGCCGATAGCCCCAGTTTGCGTAGGATATACAGAAATGATACATAAGAAGGAGAACGGAGAAGTGGGTAAAACGCTTTACAGATCATAAAATGTGCGATGTATGTGCGAGGTAGGCTTTTCTACTATGAGCGTCGGGACTTAGCAAAAACACAACTGGTTAACGACGCGCGTCCGGCCAAGAGCCGCATGATTTGAACAAAAGAAAGTAGTCTGGCGTTGTTTGTTGCTTTGTGCGATTCCAGTGCACAACAGGGCAAGATGTAAAGATTTACAATAAGATTCGTTTTTTTGTTACAAATCCTCTAAACACTCGTAATCCATGTATAAACGTTTGTTTATTATTGTAATGTTTTACTTTTATTATTATTTACATAATGCTTTACTCTAAAAATCACGCAATGGCAAAATACATTAAGATCTATCGTCACTTGTTTTTTATTTAACATATTTTATTTGTCCTTAAGATTGTTAACTTCTTACCTACTGAGTTTATCCATGCCGATGATTGCGTTATCCGAATATAATACATTTTAAATAAAATTCAAACTTTCTTCTATTTGTTTAAGGGCTAGGTTCGGTGCCGTCGTTGTTCAGCGCCCTAACTTTGATTTCCTGATACGATAGTACGTTAATTTTTCCGTTATCTGATCTAAACAACTTTGTTTCGGTTGTCCTCTGCCTCTTTTTCCTCTCTTTCCTTTTGGATCTTCTCTATTACGATGTTTCCCACAAAACTGTCGTGACGTATCCGATACCCCAACATCTTCCTTCCCCCTTCAAATTTAATTAAAATATATAATTTTATGCAGGTAATAATGGGTGGCGGAAGGCGGCATTTCTTACCAACAGTAACACCAGACCCTGAGCATCCAAATCGCGAAGGCCGAAGACTGGATGGAAGAAATCTCGCAGAAGATTGGGCGAGGGAAAAGAAAAGACGACGATTACGAGCTCAGTATATTCACACAAAGCAACAGCTTGCTAAATTGGACCCGAGAACTGTAGATTATTTACTAGGTAAGATTTGTGTTATAAGCAGGATTTGAAATTATCAGCATTATTTACTTCGGGAATTATTTGGTAATAGCTTTTTATAATTATCCGACATATTGTCGAAAATTCCGATAATTATCCATGCTGATTCATAGTAAAATATTAAATAAATCAGAAGAAAAATTTTTACTTGAACAACATAAATGGTATGTGACTTTTTGGAGATTGACATTTATTTGACATGTTTGGATCACGCCACTTATACAAAACATGGCATAATATCCTTTATTCCATCCTCTAAGTTGCTAGTGGTAGTATTTTCTTGTTCTGTACCAAAGTAATTATCAATTTGAATTCTGTTTAAAAGATGCATAAAACGGTAGAACGACGAACTTATGAAGGAGAAATGTTTAGCTTCGATGGTAGACACTGTGTAGGACATATGCTAGCTAGGTGGACCTAACCTGCTGCAGAATAAATACTCTCGAACCAGGACTGTAACTTGGAGTATTCCGTTCTGATGGCATTTTTTTAATAACAAGACCAGTCATCCTGTAAACAAATATACATTTTTACTATATGATAACTTCTGGAATATTCAAATGAATTGCTATGGCCACAAGTATTTAAACATACTGTTTATTATAGTTCAGATGCCACTTAGAATGCTTCATAATCATGTAGTAGTTTCCCCGATTTATCCTATATACAACTGTATTACTGTTCTCGCGTTGGAAGTTATGGGATCGTTTACATCTAGTTAATACTAATCTATGTTGGCTTCATTATGTTCGGTATGTGACTTGTATTTTGTCATACGTGCGGCGCACTATAAGTTTCTGGAGTGAATAAGAACAAATACTATAAATGGTCAGAAATGAATTACTATTATTGTTTCTCAAAATATTCTCCGTTAGCGTTAATGCACTTTTTCATACGAATGAACCAATTTTGAAAACATTTATGCCACTCCACTCATATCTTATTTATATTTCATACTCTTCGACAGTCTCTTCAGGTGATGAAAATCGTTGACCGCGTAACTGGATCTTACGAAGACCCATACGCTCGATTGCTGCTTTATTTTGGGACTTGACTTGGCACTGTACGCGGGAAGGCTCATAAAGTCAACGTTGTTCACCTTCAAAAATTCATTTGTCTGTCTGGACATGTGAGAACTGGCATTATCGTGGTGCAAGATGATACGGCGTTTACGGTTATTTTTACGGAGTTTGTTAATAACTTCCGGCAAACAAATGGTCGTGTACCAATTACTATGTACGGTACTTCGATTCTCTAAAGCAACAGTAGCCACGTAGTAACAGTAGCAGTTTTATTAAAAAAGAAGGAATCATCCACTTAGAGGCACTTTGCACGCGTGCCACTTTGGTTGGTTTCGGCTCATCTCGAAAGATCCATACGCTCGATTGCTGCTTTGTTTTGGGATCGTAACTATAAATCCATGTTTCGTTACCTGTTACTATGTCCCACACCAAATTTGACGCCCCTTCGTTGAATCTGAGAAACATGACATTGCACCAAATGACGCGATGCGCTTGAGCCTCAGTGAAATTGTGTGGGATACACCGAAAGCACAGCTTCTTCACACCCAAATGTTTGCGTAGTATTGATTATATTTGACTCATGCCTATGCCAAAAGATGCCCGAATCTCATGGTATGTCACATGCCTGTCTGTTTTGATCATACGGCGCACAGCATCGATGTTTTTGTTGTTCACAGCAGTGGACGGGCGACCACCACGAAATTCGTCACTGCGATTCACAAGACCGCGTTTGAATTCTGCAAACCAGCTATAAATAGTCGTCTTTCATGGTGTTTCATCGCCAAAAGCAGTTTGAAGTCAAGCGAAGCTCCGCTGAGCTGTTAAATTATACTTAAAGCCGTAGAAAATCATACTACGAAAATTTTCACGACTTAAATCCATAGTGATGTAGACAATCAATTCGTAAGGAGAATATTTTGAGAATCAATAAAATCATTTCTGACCATTTATATTATTTTTTTCTTATTCATTCCGGAATCTTATAGTGTGCCTCACGTATGACAAAATCAAAGTCACATACCCAACATAATGAAGCCAACATAGATTAGTATTAACTAGATGTAAACGATTCCATAACTTCCGACGCGAGAACAGTAATACAGTTATGCAAAACATACTGTTCGAAGACAGTTTGAATGCGAATTTTGGATACCGATTATCTCTCCACAGGAGGATATACGTTCATATTCAATAAAGCTTAGTATTGTTGATGTATATAGGATAAATCGGGGAAACTACTACATGATTATGAAGCATTCAAAGGGGCATCTGACTTACAATAAACAAGATGTTTAAATACCATATAGCCATAGCAATACATTTGAATATTCCAGAAAATATCATATAGTAGATATAAGATACAATTTAATTTAAGTAGATGTAAGATAAGGTTTAGACGGTAATTAATTTTATTATGAATCAAACATTGGTGGTGTGACTGTACTTAGGATTCAAAGAAATAAAATATACCATACACCGATTTATTAAATAGATGATATTGAATCTATATAGATGTCACACCAATAAGGTGAAGCTCTTCTGTTTTTCAGAAAAGGCATTTATTTGTTAAATGAATATTATATTGAAAAATTGAATACATATTTCATAAGAATTTAATATTTTACAACATTCTGAGGGTACATACACTGACATTGTTATGTTAATAATAATTATTATTATTAACATAATAATTATGCAGAACAATGTCAGTGGCGATGATTCTTATCACTTAGCTTGACGTTTTGGTGATTAAGTCGCATTCATGTTTAGGAGAAAAAATTTTTAGGTTTCGAAAATTCTAAATCACATTTTTGTATTATTTTACAAACTATTTTATTAATTCCACTACAATTGTTATCATGGCTTTTAATTAATTCCGTGTGCTTTTATTTAATTACGTAGACCTATTGGACTTTAAGCTGTAAAATGTACATTAAGATTATCCTTTATTGACCATTTTATATAAAAAACCTTTGTAGCTAAAGCCATCGCGGACGCATAAAACTCCGTTATTATGCGGTTTCGAAGATATATTTCTTTCATTATATTCATTTTATGTTGCTCGGTATCCGCAGTCCAATATTTAAGAAAACACAACCCTTTGTTGGGTTTTGTTTAAGGATTAAAGCTTACGCAGCGATTTAGACAGAAATCCTCTATTTTAGGTTGTTATTTATAGTACTCAAGGCGGAAGATTTTAAACATTTCAGCAATTTAGCTTTAGAAAGCTTTAGACACGTCTTAGCTTTTAGGATTCTGTGCTACTTATTTAACAGAAATACGCCGAAGACTTTTTGTAATTGGGCCGAGGCAGAATTTCTGAGTACACGATAATAATCTTAATTTTCTTCGCTTTTTACCGTGTTCTGCAGTATTAAGTGCCGTTGAACGCGGTGCAGCACTTAGTGTTATTAACAGATTTATTTTAGACCTCCTGCTACAATATTGTTATTACCGATGAAATGAGCTGATTCCTCTTACATCTGGTGTTTTCACAATATGCACTGAAAATCGGTACTTGTAGTCTCTTCCATGCAGTATTTTATGAAATATTTATATTTACGAGACTTTTCATCGTAATCAGCGTTACTGTTCCGTAATCCCGTTTGAGTCCGTTTAATCTGGTTTTAGGCAGAGTTTGAATTGTAAATAAGAATACAAAATTAGATGCAAATTTACGGTCACAAGAAATCAAAAAGGGTGATCTAAACAAAACCACAGTAAAGCTGTACGTTCCTGAATCGCACATTTATTTCTACGTGCGCGGCAACCTATTTTTAGCCGGGGCGCTTAGTACGAGTAGCATTCATTATAATTTAGTGTGCAATAAACCTTTTCAACGTAAGCACGTATCTCTGTGTACACTCACCTACTTACATTAATACATAAAGCTAACTTAGAACTTAACAACTTAACTACATGTATTATATTTGGTTCTTCGAGCCTTCGAGATACGCTATCCCCGCCCTCGCCCTATAAACGCCGAGGTCAAATATTTTTAGGTACTTGTTCATATACAAGCTAAATTAAGATGTAATCTTTGTCATCCGTCATTCGAAAATACAAATAGTTCTTTATTGCAGGTTTATTCGAATATTCACATATGGAGTTTAATGCGGAACGGGGTGCGGTCACAGATGCAGATGAGGAAGCGACGGCAGGAGTCTCTGTCAAAGCTGATGATCCATCCCTAGCAGATATGACCAGAGCGGCCCTGTCTATCCTGTCAAAGAACGAAAAAGGTTTTTTCCTCCTCATTGAAGGTGAGTTTGTGAAGCTTTGTATATTATTCAGCAAGTTTCCGTCATGATTGCTTCAGATTCCGGATATAATGGATCATTTTTCATGAGAATTCATTATGTGGTTTGCCTTTGGAGGGTATTATAACATTTCGGTAAATTAAATATCCATCTCGATTCTCACAGCGTATTCATGAGTTCGCGTGTTTTGTTGGGCCGTTCCATATGTTGATAAGGTTGCTTTTGTGAAGGCGCCGTCAAATTTTTGTTGGAGTTATGACGAAACAATCAAAGACAATCCAGTTGAAGAAATTGAGTTGACAGGAGTATGCTTTCCGCTTTTCAAGCTGAAGGCATACAATTACGTTGTAACCTTTTGATCCCTGGAAAATAGTTTTATATTACTCCCGGAGGTTTTGTGCTTTATAGTGTGACATCAACCTTAATTAAATTATATCTTACATATTGGCCTAAACTTCTCTAGGTGGAAGAATAGACCATGCACATCATTACAATAATCCATATCGTGCACTGGATGAAACTCTTGAGCTGGAAACAGCACTCTTGGCTGCGTTAGAGAGAGTCAACCCAGCAGAAACCTTGATCGTAGTCACTGCTGACCATGGACATGTGATGACCTTCGGGGGCCAGGCCACGCCAAGAGGACATCCTGTTTTAGGTAAACCAATAATAACTACAATAATTGTTTATGTATTATTATAATCCATATAGTACTGGCAATATTTGTGTGCAAAATTGATTAAAAGGCGGTAATACGCGATAACGTTATTGATTAATAGCATTAACATAGCTTCATTTCAATGTTAGTATGAGAAACTAAAATAATATTAATGCTTCAAGTTAATATTTAGTTTACTATAAATTCCAATTATAGGTAGTCGAGAATAACTTTTAGAAACGATTTGGGAAAGTCAAGAAATTCTTTGGGGATTTGGCTTTCAATGTTCAGAAAGTTCCTTTGAAATTTGGGATTTCTGGGTAGGACTAGCCGTCTAACTTGTTGGACGTTTTGAACAGGAGCTGATACGGTCGTGTCGGATATAGACGGGTTGCGATACACAACCCTATTGTACGGAACTGGGCCTGGGCACGCAGAACCGCGAGCTATTCCGCTTAACGATACTGCTATTGCTTCCGCTGCCGCCGATGCCGTACATGCCGCAGCAGTCCCAAGGCAGTGGGCTACACATGGTGGCGAAGATGTACCAATCTACGCACTGGGTAAGGCTTTATTTCTTTTCGACCAGAAATTATATTGTATATTGCTCCAGCACTAAAAAATAAAATAGATATACCCAGATTGCGCAGGAACTTGTCAAGTTAGTTCCACCTTCACCGCTCCTCTTAAAGTCGACTAGAAAGTCCGGAACACTCTATCCTTACTACTCAACCGATCTGAGTCGTAGTTGGTTCCGTTCTCTTTTAATTGAAAATAGAACTTAAGATAATTTAGTAAAATGAACGGTTTTTATTAATTAGTATAAATACTTCAACTAAAACCATTTTAGTTGAAAGAAATATCTCAACTAAAACCATTTTAGTTGAAACAAATATCTCAAGATCTCAATATGTTTGAGTGTAGTTTCAATTGTTTGCTTAAGGTCCCATGGCTACCATTCTCTTCGCTGGAGTGGTAGAGCAGAGTTATATCCCACACGCGATTGCGTACGCTGCCTGTTTGGCCCACCACGCAAAACGGTGTCAGGAGAAGGCCAGCTTCAATTTCACGCAACCACCGGTACGTGTATTGATTTGGTATTTTATTATTACTTTAAAATATTTGAATTACGAATAAAGCTTATTTTTACTAAACTACATTTTGTTTTTACGAAATTATAATTTCATTACGAATTTGAGTGCTGTGCGTGTCGAAATCTTGTCAATAATTAAAATAAAACATTTTTGTCTTAGGCAAAAATACAGAAATGCGTATCACCCGAAGTTAGTAGTGTATCAGCTGCGGATGAAACAAGAAGCGAAGGTACAAACAGTCGTCGATTTGTAGTCGCTTCAAGCGTTATGTCCGACGAACGAGTGCCACGCTCATCCGCCTCACCACTGCTCGCTCTACTAATTTCACGATGTAATCTAATATCAAACTTTTGTAATTTAGTTGCATATTTAAGCGTTTTTTGTTTTGTAAATTAAATTTTGAAATAACGTGTAAATAGTAAATAAGGCCCAATAAGATTTGTACAGAGAGAGTGTAAATACCGGCACTAATCAATTATTGTGAAAAAGAAATATAATAAAATTATGGATTTATTATTGTGTTTTGCATTTCATGTCAATTATGACTGAACCACGATTATAGTTATTCAATTTTAAATTTGTCTTTTAATTTATTTATGTTTTATTTATTTATATATATTCAGGTTACATACACCCGTAAACATATACTTTATAGACTAATATACATATAATATAATAAAACACAATAGTGTTTAATAAATATAATAGGGGTTAAAGTATGAAATTGCCTATTTGTACTGAAAATCTAAATTGTTTATTTTTTAAATTTTTAACAAATTTATTTAATCAAAATAGTTGCCATTATTATCTATACATTGCTGCCATCTAATGGGAAGGTTATTAATGCCTTTGCGATAGAACTCCGACGATCTAGACTGCACAAACTGTGTGAAAGCATTTTGTACTGCCTCCTGGGAAGAAAACTTCTTGTCACGTAGATAATTGTCCAAATCACGAAAAAAATGGTAGTCCGTTGGAGCAAGGTCTGGTGAATACGGAGGATGACGAATGGTTTCTAACTGCAGTTCCTGAAGGGTCAAAATGGTTTCTCGTGCTGTGTGAGGTCTCGCGTTGTCGTGGAGCAATAATGGTGAAGATCGATTCATGAGTCGGGGCTGTTTTACTGCTAGTTTTGTCAACATGGTTCGGAGTTCGGCACAATAGACATCTGCCGTTATTGCTTGACCAGATCGGAGAAAACTATAGTGAATAACACCATGCTGAGACCACCAAACAGTTACCATTACCTTTTTATTGGTAAGTTTTGCTTTAGGACACTGTTGTGGCATTTGACCTGGGGTCAGCCATTGCATTTTTCTTTTCCGGTTATCATAAAGAATCCACTTTTCATCACATGTTACAATTCGATCCAATATTCCTTCATTTCTGTACCGGTTCAACAAGGCAACACAAGTTTCAACACGCGTTTCTTTCTGCAGATCAGTCAAATCATGAGGCACCCATTTTTCGTATTTTTTTATTTTATTGATTTGACGCAAGTGAGTCAATATTGTGGGTAAGGTAACGTTAAACCATGCCGCTAATTCCTGGGTAGTTTGACTAGGATCGGCTTCCACTATCTCTCTTAATTCATCGTTATTCACCTGTGTGGGCGGTCTTCCTCGTGGCTCGTTCTTTAAGTCGAAATTTCCATCACGAAAGCGTTTAAACCAAAATCGCACGGTGCGTTCATTAGTAGACCCCTCTCCAAACGCAGCATTGATATTGCGGGCTGTTTCTGCCGCGTTAGTTCCGCGTCGGAACTCGTATTCAAAAATCACTCGAATTTTTGCAGTGTCCATCTTTCTTGTCTACATTGAATAACAAAAACAATTGAAAGTCGATATTCAAATGTTTCAAATTTAAAAAAAAAAAATCACAGAAACCATTTGAAAAAAGTTTCATTCGAAAACCTCAAACCATGAAGATTCTATGAAAATTCAAAGAACCTATTGCAATAAAACGGCAATTTCATACTTTAACCCCTAATATTTATACGTATGGACTGCGACGTGTGACGTAACGTGGGTGTCCGGTAACCGTCCTCGGAAACTCCTTCATGAAGGTCGATAGATGTTGAATGGTTACTCTTACCACGAATTAATTAAAATTCACTTTGTGGCGGCATCTCAACCGCACGACCCTCAGGGCAGTATTGGCTTTCACTCGTATATACTTCACAATATCCGCAGACTTTGTGGAGTAAAGAAGCCGTGACACGTGTAAAAACGTCGTCGGTACTGCTGGATGCAATAGATGATTTGGGCTACTCGGGGAAGTGCCAGTAAGGTTACGGCTGATGTACAGAAACCGTCCTCACTGCACTGTTCAACTCGTCTCGGTGGGACTGACGACTCAGCTCCAGAGATAAGTTTCCGTTTATTAATCAATCATAAACTATAGCTTTCAAAGTAGATTGGTATCAATTTATTTGTATCTTTTATTTAGTACACACATCAATAGAAAAGTACTTACACGTAACGAATGCAAGCCTTTTACAATCCTCTCGCTTCAAACAAATTTGCCATCGAATATCGTTTCGGGGATATTCCCTGCAGGGATTCGAATTTCACAGCAAAAATAAACGTTACCCACGTCCCATTTTTTCCCCTGTTACGACCAGGAGATTTCTTGAGGTGTTTACTAGCAGTTAGGCAGAAAAGGGTCGTATAAAAGCTGCGTAGAGGCTGTAGAAGATACCTTACTTAGTGTCTTGTGTGTGCCGAGTTGTTAATGGCACGTAAAGAAAGACTAACGAGGTGTATAACTTCGTACTTAAGAATGCAGAATGGAAGAAGGTAATGGGTAATTTAAAAAATGAATTACCAGGTTGATGGTCTAAGTTAGTATTTAATGTACCATTAATACTAATAATTATCCTTATAATGAGTTAGATAAGTAGAACATAACTTTGAATATGAAATTCAGTGTTATGAGTACGTAAATAATTCTAGAGTAAAGATTTAAAGAGTTCAGGAGAATATATGACGCTTTGTCACCAAAGATTTACAAAGTTTAACAAAAGCAAAATTTGATGATTTCCGCGGTCGAGCGGCTTGCACGTCGGTTTTCATGATGTCGCCATTTCTGAGGTCCCGGGTTTAATCCCCGGCCGGATAAGTGTAGAAAAACTATCTTTTCTATATTTTCTTGGGTCTGGGTGTTTGTGGTAACGTCATTATTACCGATTTTTGTGCTTTAGCTACTTACTTTGGGATCAGAGCAACGTTCGTGATGTTGTCTAATATTTAATTTAATTACTGAACCTTTCAATGTTTTTATTTGTATTTTCTCTTCTTGTTCTTAATCGCATCCTCACTGCTGAGGATGCGATTAAGAAGTACGTGACTTCACTTTACCCTGCCTTTAATCTGTCTCCATCGGTAGCGCTCAGATGCTTGGGGAAGTGCGGCGTTGATAGGTAGCTCTAGTTGTTCGGAGATCTGATCCAAACATCGTTTGAGATTCCCGCCACTAGGTCTCTTTCCTTCCACCTTCCCTATCACTATATATTATCAGCATCTCCACGTGTAACGTGACAATAGTGTATCACACGCAGACAGATGCTATGCATTCTCTAGCTTGAGTTCTTTTTATGTATAATGCCAATTGACGAGACGACAAGTCGTGCGCCTGGTGGTAAGCAACACGCCTATCCATAACAGTTGCAGTTGCACTCAGAGCTTTAAAAAGATCGTAGGTGCACTGCCACTGCACTCGTCACCTTGAGAGATAAGTTGACAAGTTCCATGTGCCAGTAATTTCACCAGCACCCTTATCCTTCTAAACCGGAACGCAGTAATGCTTACATTACTGCTTAGCAGCAGAAATAGGTAAGGTGGTAGTACTTCTCTGGACGAACTCTTTCACAAGGAGCTCTACTGCTATATTTATTTATGAGAATAATTGTAAACTTACCCATCTTTGAGAACATTTAAAAATACTGAATATGTGTGATGTGTTATCGTGAAAGTGTTTCGCTTTTTAGTGTCTACCATGGTGTAAAAAGTCATCTAACGAAAACGAGAACTACCTATTTTTCCTATCGTTACTATTATTTTCTTCTATAGGGCCATGAAGACCTGGTGAAGATTGTGGGAATCCGCAGGATGCAAGTGGCACAGGATAGGTCGTTGTGGCATTTTTTGGGAGAGGTAGTGGACGCAGAAATGATGACGATGATGATGATGGGGTCATGTCTGGCCTCTACCATGAGATTACAGTGTCGGTTATATCTAACGATCGCTTAAAATAATTGTACATACAAAATGTTGTTTCTTCTTGTGACCGCTAGGAGCGCTAGATAATTTGTCATCAAAATTGTGAAGTAATTTACGCGATCGCTAGTCACAACCGTCACAGTAATCTCGTGGCACAGATAGTTATTGAAGTTTTTTCTTGTTTTTTTTTCGAAATAACTGCAATAGTTTCTTCTAATTTATAAATACAAAGATCGAACAAAAAGAAAAGTTTCATAGGTCTGACAAGACATAATTATATATAATTTTTTCAATGCTTAATGTAAATGAGGCGTTTGAAATTACAAAACCACAACGAACATAAAACGCCGTTATCCTGTGCTATTCGGTGCAAATGGACATTTGTGTATTTTGGCTTTACAGTGTTTGCTGAACAACTAACCGATTGTGCCCCTTTCAGAGAGGCGGCGGCAAATGCGACCAGTCGCGGAACTAGCTATTATCGACGTGGTGTGAGTCACGATATTCTATCATGGTTAAATGAGTCTGCGTATGCAAATTTTTGCACATTGGTTCTATAGACGCCAGTACTTGTATACTTCGCAATTTGCGTTACGTGCATGGTGGAGATTAATGTTGGGTCATGGAAAAATTTGGTTTGACGTTGACACCTATCAGAAGTTGAAGTTACTTCCTGAACGGAAACAATGGAGCCGTTACAAAAGTTTTTCCGTTGTTGTCAAATCTCAAGTTGTGTTTAGCTATACAATTTTATTTTATAATTTTCACGGTACATAAAACGTCAAAAGATATTTCTAAGCGAAATACATAATATGAGCCTTTGAATTATATTTGTCCAAGATTTTTAAATTTTTCAGAAATTTTTGAGGAAATACGTTCACTATTTGAAATTTTTCGGAAAATTACCCAACAATCAGTTAGACACTTTGTCTCGTAGGCGAAGGATGCTTCTTCTGGCTCATTACATTTCCGCATTCTATTATAAGGTGGATAATGATATAATGTTCAAGGTGGATCTGCTGGTGCCCACGCGTATACCTTGGGGTGATGAGGGTGCGGGAACCCCGCACGTCCTGTACATGCCGCAAATGCACCTACGCTACACACCTGACCGGGGACATATACTCACTTAGTATGATCATATTGACAAATTCGCTGCTAGTGTTGAATATAATAATAATATAATGAATAATAAATAACGCACACAC